TCTTTCCCTAATTATGTAAGTAATCACTAAGTATGGGTTGTTGTTTTTTTTTTCCTTTCTAGAGTCTATTGAGACAGGTGATAAGTATTTGTGGTCTGCTATTTTATTACCTGACACTGAAGGCTCTTGGTCATTATACTTTACAGTTCCATTTAGTTCTGGTTGTACCAGAACCTCAAGCAGGACTTAAAAAATCAGCTTGACGCGTTGTGACATTTGAACTATTTAAGAGACTAGGGCTTGAGGGAAGCCAACTTCTAAATTATTGGATGCCATTGTCATTTGGACTTCCATAATCTTGCAGTGGGAGATTATAGCATGTTGAGATGGGAAAGGGGATGGCAGCTTAAAGACAGGAGAGACCAATAGTGATCTTGATGAAGAGTGCATTTCCAGTCTTCAATTATTTACTACTCAACAATTTCCTGAATGATGTCTTGAAGGTGACTTCTAGACACACAACAGTTCTCAATGGGATCTGTCCTCCACCCATTAACTTGCTTCATCCTTGTCTAGCCCTCTTTATATTATTGCTGTAGCTTTTGTGAACTGGGATAACTGGAATATATCCAGCATCCAGGCTCTTCCAGACTTCAAGAGCTTGGTCTTTTTTTCAGCACCTTTTGCCACCTCTGTGGTATGCACTGATCACTGAAGCTGACTCTAATAAGGAGGCTGCTCTGACTCACATAGTATTCTGGTGTACTTTCATTCTCAAGACTCACCATCTTCACACTATTTCTAACTGAAATTAGAGCAGCACAATTAAAGATAAACAGATTAAATGAAAATTAATCTATTACTAAGAGGCACAGTGGATCATATATTGTGGCAGAGGAAGCGAAGGAAATAATGACTCTAGGTTGTGCCTTGGTCCGCATTTTCTTGTAATATTACCAGGCATGGAGCTACTAGGATGACTTGGGCTTGTTGTGATGACATAAAGTATCTTTGATGACCGGGCTGCATTGATACTGAGATTTGCTTGTTCATTTGTCTTCTCTGAAATAGTCTGATTGATTGGAGTCTTGTTTTTATACACATTGTCCTTCACAGCTGAAAACACAAGAGTATTATTATAGTAACCATTTCTAAAGAGGTGTAATTTGGCTTAATTTTGTGCTTGTAGACAGATATGTACTGCTTTCTGGTTTACTTACAGAATTCTAATAATCAAATTATGTCTGATGCCAGAAAAAGCCTACTCTTCACCAAGTTAGGGTTCTCAGAATGTTTCTGGAAGCTAATTGTTCATTATAACAGTAAGTGAAACTCATGGACTAAAATGTTTTATAATAATGACTTTTGATCTGAGTGGAATAGGCTGTTTGAAAGAGCCAAAATGGACCACAATGCAAATGGACTAAAGGGTTTTTTGTTTATTTTCCGCTTTGTCATTTTCCAGTCTGTTTTGAAAGGCTCACTGAAAGGTAGAAACAGCAAAGTTAGCTTCTTACCTCTATATCTGACAGCAAATCCCTGGGCTTGATTAATTTCATCTGAGAAGAAGTACAAAATGACAAAATCCAAAGAGATGTTAAAGGTGTGGGGAGGCCGGTTCTTGCCATTAAAACGCGCTAGAACATGATAGGTATAGCCATCCAACAATTCCACCATATCTGTAGCATCTTTGATTTCAAAAAGGGCAAAGCTGAAGTGGATTTGAGATGCTCCTGGAACTTGTATGGTCCAGTAACAGACTTTGCCAGTGCCATATGTGTCAGGAAAATCTGGGGAATAGATCACAGCTGTAGCAGAAGTATAATTCCCTCCACAGGCACCAATAAGGGCTGTGAAAAAAATGAAAATAAAAATAAGACATTATACATCAGTTATGCACAGCTTTAGTGCTCTGTAGATTCTAAAACTCAAATATGACTTAAAGGTACAGACTTGCAACCCCAGCAGGATGCACTGTCTCTGGTTATTCTTGTCCTTCCCCAGTACTGGGAGCACAGCTCACAGCATCACATCAGCTTGGGATACAGTCTGTCTCATTACTCTGAGATTTATGTATCAAGCCTGAATACTGCAGCCACCCTTTCTCCTTGTATGTAACCATATACACTTTCCCACATTCCTGCAGGAACAGGAGAAATGCTAAATCACTGATCCAGGGACTTCTACTCCATCTTTATCAGGCAGGCAGGCAAGTAGATTAGTGACTAACTCTCACTGTTGAATTATTGTAATTCCTTCACAGCCTTATCAAATTTAAGAAACAAATCTTCACAGAATAGCTGAGGTTGAAAGGGAACCCTTGAGATTGTCTAATCCAATCCCCCTGCTCAAAGCAGGAGACATTGTCTAGTTGTTTTGAGTCCCCAAGGGTGGAGACTCCACAACCTCTCTGGGCAACCTATTCCAGTGTCACCCTCACCATTAAAAAAAAAAAATAAATAAAAAAAAAAGTTTTTTCTTATGTTTAAAATTATTTTCCTGTATTGCAGTTTGTACCTATTGCATATTGTCTATTCACTAGACAATACTGAGGAGAGTCTGGCTTCATCTTCATATGCTCCTATCAGTTATTTATTCAATGATACAAATTTAAAAGGTCCATTCCCCTGAGCCCTCTTTACTCAAGAATCCAAGATCTCTCAGCCTCTTTTTATATGAATGCTGTAATCCCTTAATTACCTTTGTGGCAATTTGTATGGGCTTTTTAAGCATCCTGACTTTAGATCTTGTCCAAATTAGGTTTCACCTTACCTTCACTAAGTAATGTGAAAAAGATCCCATTATGAAGTCTAAAGAAAGTATTTTAGATTTGCTGCTACCTTTTATATTCAAAACAAGTACACTCCCAGTAAATACTTGCATTACTTGACAACTATCCAGGTTACCAGTGCAAACTTATTTACCAATGATTACAGAGAGAAGCTCGAATGCCAGCCAGCTGACTTGATACATATCTGTATAGACACATATAGAATTTTAAAATGTATATAGGTATAGATGAATATGTATGTATTCATAATATTATATACATAATAAATAATGTTATATACCTTATATAATAATTTAGTGACAAAACTGTTTTGAGCAACAGTTAGCACTCTCCTATATCATAGGCTGAAGGACTGAAGAATTAAAGTAGAATTATTTTCTCTGAAAGCTTAATTAAAGCCCTGTAATAGAGGTCTGTGAGAATAGAAATAAAGGAAATGAAGTGGTTTGAAGTGTCTGTTTTCACAGCCCCCTGAGAAAGAGCTTTAATAAAAATTAAAAAGGAGCTGGGGGAACAAGAAGTAGCATATGTCTGCCAGAAAAATCATGTGAAAACATTTCTGTTTTTCTGAACAAGACCTGATCATAGCCTGAACAAACCTCATACATCAGTGTCGCACTACAAAAGACCTTATAGAGAAACTGAAAGAATATGAAAGCAGAGCAGAAACATTGTGAAAGACCCCACAGAGGAGGTGCTAAGCCCCATAGGGGAATTTGTGTGTGGCACAAGCTGGTGATTTAATCGAATAGCTAGAATTGGTTGCACAGAGAAAACAGAATTGGAGCTTGTCACTGAGATAAGAAATTTCCTCTTTGCTTACAGGTATTGTTACATTTGGCTGTGCTGTTTGTAATTACTGAATCACAAGATGTTCTCCAAAACAGCAATATTAACTGAGAATGCCAATGACTAGTGCTCCACAGATGCCTAACAAAGTACAGCATTACCCCAGATGGAACGGAATTGCTTTCCCTCTCTCATTTCCTTCTAGAGCTGGCAGACTTCTGTGTTGTGGGTCTGAATGTTACAACTTTAGGCCAGGCTAGTGGTACGTAAACACATAAGGTTAGTGCAGTGTGTGTGTGTACAGGGATTAGGGGTGAAGGTTCTGGGGATGTGACATAATCTGCAAAAGAGGAATGAAGTGAACAGGTGTTGTTCATCAGCAAAAGAAAACAGGTGACAGTTACTAGGATGACCTCTCTCTGCCTGGCCATAGCACCCTCCCTTGGTGTTTATCAGAAAAAAACAGATCAGGTCCTCAGGGTGACATATTGCTGAATGCATAGTCATTCCAGAAAAGGAAAGCTACAGAGAAAGTCTTTATCCTTTGAGGATTTGGGAGGCTGAGAGCAGAAGGAAACAGAGGATGCTGTGATGTAAAGCTACGTGCTATCTCAACACTGAAAGCAACATGCAGCTCTGGTGCTTCTTTCCATATCTTGGGGACCATTTTGAATTGAGTAGAATTACTTATTCTGGTCTCAAATAAAATGTCTTTCTGTCTTGCTAGCTGGGAACCAGAGTTTTCGAATAACGAGATAGGAAGTTTGGTTGTGTGGTCAGGTGATGCCACTTTCAGTTCCTGAAAGTTTGAATTTGACTTAAAAGGTAACTTCTGCATCAGAGACAGTTGAGATCTGAGAAGCAATGGATATATCAGTGCATACTGTTAACTTTTCCGATACTCTTGGCTATACTGGGAGCTTGCACTGCAGCCAAACGACAGAGTACTCATACAGTCAACCTGTGAAGTTACACAGCGGGCGTTGATATGTATGCTGAAGAGTAGAAAGGAGGTTTTCTATATATAAGAAATTATGAAACCAGCAATGGTCATAATAGCAAACTAACTTGTTTGTACTTCCATAGTACACCCCTTCCCTGTCCCAGTTCTACTGAACTGCTTTGTGTTGTGTTAACTGGGTTATAGTAAGTCTTGTCTAGTTTAAAAAAAAACAACAACCCAAGTTGGTGTAGACTGAAATTTGATTTGAGGTGCCTCATTTAATCATATATCTACTTTGTGGTAAGATAGTTATGAAGGAATCTTTCCGTGACATGCTGTTTGTGACAGCTGAGTTAGTACCATTTGTGGGGAAGTAAGAGCCAATGTCTGGAGCATGAGTCAGTTGCCAAAGCAGGCATCATAATTTCTTGGAAGAGAAATGGATTATTAATGGATGTGAATTTTATGCAGAAATGGAAAGTAGTTTTATTTTATACTGAATGTAGGTGTTTTCCTGTTTTGTGTGTAACACTTCTCATTGCATTTAAACCCTTTTCCCTAATTTGCTGAACATTTGAGGCCTCTCCTGTGGGAAAAACCGGGCCTGTTTCAATACTTACTGTCAAAAAGAATGACTCTGCCATCCCCACCGCAAGGCTGAGTATGGTCTCCAAAGCAAACACTGTTGCATTCCGTACTGGCTGCCTCTCCGTATCTCCAGTAGTCGGGATTATTTCCACAAAAACAAGCATAGCCTGATTCCATGCCTGCAAACTTTGACAACAAAGATGCATAAGAAAGGGAGGGGTAATGTGTAAAGGAGTGACGTCAGGAGTTTTTATGAGCAAGAAAGCTGGCAGCAGATTTTGTGTGTTTTAGAGAAGTATCATTAGTCAGAGGTTGCACCACCAACTGTTTTTGCTTGAGTTACTTCAGACTAGCAAGAAAAATGGAGTGGAGGGCAGTTAGGTTATATCATAAGTGCAGTAAACAAGTACACTTTCTTCTGGCATCCTGGCATAATTAACTAGTTGTTTGCCCAGATTGCTCTGGTTGCAGAGAGAGGGCTAGATCCCCTGGAGTGAGGGTGAGGGGAGAGAAGCATGATAGAGAGCTTTAGGCATATTGCTATCTTTTGTCTTTGAAAACGTTTTGTAAATGTATGTCAAAGAAATCACCTTAAATTGTTGACTTCGGCAGGAACTGATGCATGTTTGGATAGTGAGTTTGTTGGAGGTTTCGCTGGTGCCAGTCAGGGGTGGTGGCTCTCCATGGTCCTTGTAACACCCTAGATTCCCTGGCACTGGCAAGAATAACAGACAACAGTCACTCTAAAGTTGTGTCTGGAAACACCCAAGACACAGAGCACTTTATGCACTACCTGGTTACTAAGCAGTTCTCTATATGTTCTTGCCTTGATTTTTGCAATGTGGGAAATGTTACAATAAGCTAGATCCTTGTTATAGTTTCCAAAGGTGCCCAGGGATAAATGACAGGTGGTGAAATTGTATCATATCTTCTCAGCAATATACCTGCAATACTCTGCAGTTGGTTTCTGTAAGCTGTAGTAATATAGGCAAGCCAAATACCTGGTTCATTTCTCCTGATAGAGACATTTTTTAGAAAGGCATTAAGTAGGTTCAGAGGTTCTGTGAGTTTTTCTACTATGATAATGCATATACTAATAATGGAAACTAAACTGTGATTTCTGTCTGTTCTTCGAAACAGTGAAGTTCTGGCAGTTATCTAAACAGGATATTTGAGGAAGGGAACCTAAACTCTTTTAGGATGAAGTTTGGCAAGTTTTATGGGAGGGACTATACACTTATATAGGGGAATTTCCTAATTTTCCAAATTATAATTCAAATTCCGATATTAATGCAAAGTATCATATTTTATGGCAAGTATAAAGAGAGCCAAAGTGAGCAATATTACTTTTTTTAAAGAAACATGTATTTATACTGTATTAATACAAGATTTCAAAGCTCTTTGGTCACTTCGGGAGGTCAGAAAGAGTTTTTCCCCTTCAGTGCATAATTTGTCCTCTGTTTTTGTTTTGTTATGGTTTTGTACTTTTCATCAAAGCACTGGAGTTTAGCCATGACTGCTAGAGAGGATGTGGGGTGCTAATGGCATAAAATTACCATTTGCCTATTTGCCGTATCTGCTCACATACTTGGAATTAAATCTATTATTGGCTTTGTGGTCAGGTAATTTTTATCCCTCTGCCAGACTGACAAGAATTATTTTTGCTCATCTAACCTCCACAGCTCTGTATAACATGTGAGAATGTCAGAGAACTGTATGTGAGTTTTATTCATTCATCTGCTATTTCAGTACCCAGTAAACTCTGAACTCTCTCTTGCTAACATCTTGTGACACAGCACTGTTTTCAGGTTTTCAGCTTACCTATAGTTTGTTGGGTTTTTTTTTCAGGGGAAATGTTGGGTTTTGCAGCCTCTGGTGCGTGATAGCATGTGGATTAGCTGTTCTGGGGCTTCTTTTGAAATAGCCATCTCTTGTACAGGTGGCCCTTTACCAGATAACCTGTGTGTTAGTAAACTTCTATATTACTGCACTTTCACATAAGTACTATAGGAATGCAGTGATGCTTTTTGTACTGAGCAATCTTGTACAGTAGTCCTGAAAGTATCTCTTCATAGAATTCCGGAAGGCCCATTTCTGGGATGTCTTAGATATGTCCATGGGCAGCAGCCATTGAACTAATGCCTTGAATTCAGAACTTCTACTTGCCTAATTCTAAAAAATACAGTCTCATTCCTATTATTTTGGAATATTATATACTGAGCTTGTGAACTTAAAATAGGAATCATCCTGACTTCTGAAATAGTTAAAAGGTCTGTCTGAAAACTTGCTTCCAGACTTAGGCTTTGTTGCCCAAGACAGCTTCCTTATTCTGAGGAAGAAGGTTAGCATATCTATTAGTGAACAGCAAATATACTAGCTTGTATATGGTGATATTCTTAAGGAGGATGATTGTAGTATCATAAAGAAGTTGGAAAGAAAATTCAAGTCTGTATTTTTTTTAATAATTAGATAATGTTTCTTCAAATATTGTTCCAAGAATAATTCTGTTTTCTAAGAATGGTACAATTTCAATTATAAATGCTTGCATGGAGTTATGGCTTTGATATGGCCTGCAGTAACATGCATAGAAGTACTGAGACTTCAAGTTACAGCCTGATTTAACATACCTTTGGAAATCCCCATTTGCATCCCCACCCCAGCTGAGTACAGCTGGGCAGATAACTCTGAGAACTCAGAGAGTTCTTGTACAGTGCATGATTTTGCTACCCAGAAAAAGCTTCCTAGTTAACCAACCTAGCTCATTTTCCTAGGAGACCTGAGATTTCCTAAAAACACATCTATTTTGTTTTATTTTTTAATTTTGTTTTATTTTTATTTTTTAAAGTAGCTTTACTGCTGAGACCCTTCAGCTTTGTCTGTAGAAGATTAGTACTTCAATATGTTCTATGTTAAGAAACCAGACTGAATAATTTGAAAACTTGTTATATTTTGTAACTAAATCAAGCATACCATTTGGGTACACTTTCGTGCCCCTTTCTTGTATCTAGCAAACAGAATTAGTGTCATGTGATCAGAAGTAAACAGAAGAAGCATCCATCTAGCCTAACAGTGAACAGTAATTTCCAGGCTAGTGCCCAGCTCTTCAAATTACTTTGGTATCGAATCACCAAACTACACGAGCCCAAGGATATATACTCAACTAAAATCACTTTAGTGGTCCCACGTCAAATATATGATTAAATGCTCTTCTGAACTGGGGCAAGACACACAAAAAAATTACTCCTGTACATGGATATATAATTTTTGATATGCCAGTTCTCCCTTGCCTGATGGGCTGGTCCTAACCTGAGACACCACTGAGATCCTACTCAATGATAATCAGAGTGCATAGTATCAACATAATAGTAGAGGGGAGATCATTTGAGTTGAAGAAGGTCTAATTGGTAAACACTGCTCTTGTATCAGATCCACAGTGATGAAAATTTACTGCTTTTCAACAATATTTTTAATATATTAGAATAATATGCTCCTTATTCATACTATATTAAACTGAATCAGGATGCGTACATAGAGAGCCACTCCACATAAATCTAAATCGAGACAGTGTACATTTACATGTGTGGAGCAGCTGTGCAGAAAAGGCCCTGGAGGTCCTGATGGACAGGGAGCTGAATGTGACCAGGAGTGTGTCAGGCAGCAAAGGCTGCCAACAGGCCTGTATTAAGATGAGCACAGCCAGAAATCAAGGGAACTGATTGTTCCTCTGCTCAGCACTCGTTAAGACCACTGTGTCCACTTTTGGGGCCCTAAGGACAAGACATTGACTGACTGAAGTGAGTTCAGTGGAGAGCCAAGATGCTGAGGGGCTGGAGCACTCACCCTGTCAGAACAGGCTGAGGGACCAGGGTCTCTTCGGCCTGCAGAACAGAAGGCTTTGGGGGCAGTCCCTGGCTGCTTTGCAGTACCTACATGGAGGCTGTCACAAAGATGGAGCCAGGGTCTTTACAGTGATGCATTCTGGACTGGAGGTAAGGAGCTTAAGTTGAAACATGAGCTGTGCAGACTGGATATAAGGAAAACTTTTCACCATGCTGGCAGTCAAGCACAGGAACAGGGGCCCAGACAGGGAGTGCATGTGGTGTCACTGGAGGTTGCGCTGGCCTGACAGGATGAACTTGGTCTAATCTGACAAATGGAGTAATAACTCGGTCTCATCTCAGAGCTGGCCCTGCTCTGAGAAGGAGGTTGAACTAGATGACAGCCTGAGGTCCCTTCCAACCTAGGTTATCCTATGACCCTATGTGTATGTATAAAACTACATATGTATATTTATATACACTTATGTATAAAGAAATGAAGAATCAAAAGTATTTCTAGACAGGTTATGACTGTTTAGTTTCTCTGACCTGTAAACATTTCCAACGTAATTTTTTGCCCTAATTTGCTTTTAATGTTTAGCCTACTAAAGAGACTTGGCAAAAACGAGGTAGTCATATCATGTGAATACTGTGTAAGCTGATCAGTGATGTCTTACTTTCACATTGGTTTTCACCTGTTTGCATCTATCTGTTCTCTTGTGCTTCAAAGGTCACCTCTTTTGTGCAAGCATGCTATTTTTCTTTTAAGCAGCATGTGACATAATGAAGTCCTGACAAATACCACAACTTTGACATGTTATATGAAAGGGCACATCTGAAATTCATCTTTTTGAGCTCACAATAGTGTTCCGGCCATGTTCATCTAGCTGGCTTCCAAGTGACTCCTAGCTTTTTGCAAAGGTTCTGTGCACTAGTAGGCTGTCTCAATTTGTGTGAGCTACTCTCTTTGTTCTTGTGTTAAAATGTGTACAGGTCAAGTTATACTCTGCTGTTTAATACTTCATCAGTATTTCAGTAATAAATACATTTATTACATGATATACATGCACACATGAGATATGATTCCAGTAATGAAATCTGTTTGTGGTAAGAGACTCATGGGAGCCATGAACATGGAGATGCAATTTAAGTGGGACAGCAAGCCTTTCTTTCTTTTACCTTTTGTAAGCTTAAGTTGTTATTTCCTTTGAATTTTAACCTAACCTTATTAACAAGAGACCATTAATCTTAGGCATAACTGCAACATTGCAAACAAACCACCTAAAGTATGCAGTTCTGAATTCTCCATGTGAGATGCACATGTTCTCTCAGGACTCAGGGCTGCCTTCTTGTCTTTTAAATCATTTATGTCCATTCCAGTCTGCTTAGCAGACAAGCCATTAAGAAAAGGAAAGGAAGAAATGGAAAGGTGAAGCTCCTGCTGGGGGAGGTAACCACCACTGTCTTCTGTGACTATACCCATCTGTCCCCATGGAACACTGCTAAATTTCGTATAGTGTGTTTACACACACAGTGTGCCAGAACACATTTCTGAATGAAACACTTAGTGGTACGTATAAATACTAGTGAATGAGACATGAATCATTATGTGAAATCCTCATCAGAATAAAAAATTCCTACCTGGAGATTCTTAATTACTGTTAGAGTGAATCATTGCATGCAAATCTCTCTGGGCAATCAAGACGCTTCATGTTGGCACTGTTGTGGTATTATGTGGGTACAGTTTATAGGTAGATTATGCTCCAGACGCTTGCCTCTTCTAGTATTAAATGCAATTATAAAAAAGAAACTTATTTAAGACTTTTTTGCTAACTTCTCTAAAAATTTCAAATAGGATTTCTTTACACAATTGCTTTCTTGCTTCATCAGAAAACTCAGTTTTGTATTATGTACTAAACTTTTTTTTTTGATGGTTCTATGATTTAGCACCATGCTTACTGAAAAAGGAAAACCTGGTAAATAATAGAAGTTGGGGTTTTTTTGTTGGGTGTTTTGTTTTGGTTCGGGGTTTTTTTTTTCTTAATACTTACACAGAATCATAAACCGTGAGGTTTGTATTAAAACTTGGATAGGCTTGCAATGTACAGTTTGTTCTAAATTGCTGCAATTCCTTTTTCTAGTATCCAGTTTCAGTGCAATGCTTGAAGCAGCTGCTACTGGTCAAAAGGACATTTTGTAAATATAAGTCTGGATTATCTGTATAAGTAAGTGTCCAAGTTTAAATCCTTTGCTCCCCACCACAGAGAAAATAGAGTGAGTCTGGTTTTAAAAGGATCCTTTGTGTAGAACAAATGGAGTGGAGAGAATTTGCTGTTCAACTTTTTCACTGGTGCCATATCCAGAGAATTTGTTAACATCTGTGGTCTTTAAAGAAAATGCAAATTCTTTCATTTTAGACCAAGATAAATTTCTTAATTAGGAGTGTTATATTTCCTAAATAGGACTTGGTATATTAGTAAAATAAGAGTATGATGTCTTCTGAATAATGAGTATCAGAGTGCTAAATGATTTTGTGTTATTTAAATTACACTCCTTAGTGTGTATTTAAGGTAAAAGTCACTTGACTTAAGGTCACATTGTCTATTTGTTTGCCTTCCTTGAAGATGTGAATCACTCTCTCACATTCATAAAAAAAGAAAACTGGACAAAGTAAGAAATCTCTTTAGATTAATATTTCTTTGGTTGGTTGTTTTTTTTTTTTCTTCACGTATGAAATTTGCTTTTTCCAATTGGAAGTATGCCTATGTTAGGTCAGCTGAAGAAGCTGGGAAAGTAAGTAAAGGCATGAATGATTAGACTTAATACAGTCTATAGCTGTGGTTCCTTTTTAACATGTGAAACTAGAAATCGTTTTAATATTTAGGAATATTTTAAAGAATTGGATTCTTAGGAGTTTATCTTGGAGCATTCAGGAATTAAAATTTTGGAAGACATTGACAGGATTCATAACAAAAGCTACATGTTTGACAGGATAAATAACATAATACATGCAAAATATTAAATAGTGGAAGGAAACTTCAGGTGAATAGCCTGTGAATTATCTGTTAAAAAAAGGTCCAAGTTCAGTTTGTGGTTTGACAGCAATGCTATGTATATGCAAGGAATAGAATTCTAGCCCTAGACCTCCCATTTACCTCACAAATAGCCACCTTTTCCCTACGTCCTCTCATACTGTCTTTATTTCTTCAAAGCAACTCTGTGTATGATGTGTTATACACATTAAACTAATGCGATCCATTTTACAAGCTAATTGCAAATGGTGGACACATGTATGTTGTAAAAAAACAAACCCAAAAACTTTTCCTATTATTTTTTGTCGTCTAGATGTTAAAAAATTAATGACATATTACTGTGAACTCAAAAAGGTAGTAGTACTTTATAATTTTGAGTGATTCTCCGTAAGGTATTATTTATCAATTAAATATTCCAGTAATTCTGGGATTAAAAGAAGAGAATAGCAATGGAGGAATGATTCAGTAAGATTGTTATTAACTCTAGAGACCTGTTTAAAATATTGCTTAGTTTGCAAATGAAGATCAGCTGATTTGCCCTTTCCAAGTTTGTGTTTGAAAAATCACTACCCATGGATGTGTAACGGTCAGTCTCTGTTCAACTCAGATGTAGGCCTAAAATTTTGCATGGTGCTCTTACTTCGGCAGGATGGAATCTCACAGTATTTCCAATATATTCCATCCTCGTGCTCTGCAACGTAGCACCATGGACTGACATCTCCATCAGGGTTCCTGAAAGGGAAAAGCAGAGTGAGTGAAAAGTCATCAAATATTTTCAAAAAACACATAAAAATAAATCTTATTAATCTTCAGTATCATCATTTGCTCTAATACCTACTAAAATATTTAGCCTGTTGGACTTACATACCAAGAAAAATGCAGAAGTGGTCAGGAAGTTCAGGTAATTTTGGTTATTACAGTACAGACAGAATGCTAGAGATTTCTAAAACTTCTTTTACCTTTAAATCGAAAAAGTGCAGAGCTATTTCTGGATAATACTGAGAAAGAAAAAAATTTTTAGCCCTACATCCTGTGTACAGGTTCCTTAGACTCCTAAACTTGATTTTTGCCTTGCTTCAAAAGAGTCCAGACTCCCAACTGCTGTATGATGACAAAAAAAATTACCCTACAAGTCTCCTGGGAAAGACTGAGGTCTATTCTTCCCCTTCAGTAAAGCTGAATAAATGTGTTCCCATGATTTGATACACTGATAGATGAGATAATTCCTTATGTGTCTGTGACTATTCTTTGCTGTTGTGTAGCATCATTTACAGTGCATATCTAATTGTCATTCTGTTATTTAAAGTTTTTTTTCTATGTACATTTTGAAAAACTGTTCACATTGAAAATATCGGTTTAAGAGAATAAATTGTTATTTTGGACAGGTTGAAATATGACCTTTCCATGTAACTAGGACCAACTGCAATCTTTTTATAATGTACTTTGGCATTAATTCTATTAATAAGATTCCCCTACATTGAAGTGTCCACGCAGCTGCATGTTGTTATTTGGGCATATTAACAACTCTTTGAGGGAGATCCAATTTCAGAACTTCTGGGAATGATTTTTGGTCAAATAACATGATGCTGAAGACAACTCGTGCTTTGTTCAATTTAGCTGACTAAAATGCTGCTAGGTAAGCTTTCAAACAGACTAGTGGATGAGGAGACCCTAAGACTAGTGTGCTAGGAATTTAGGCGTAATGACAGACCTTCCAGTGGCTAAAAAAAGTAGAAGAATAAAATCAAGGAAAAGTTGTACTCAAAATAACACAGTTTTCCTTGATTTCAGTTACAGGAAATTTTGGGTTTACACCTGCATGATAGAAATCAGATGTCTGTAACTGAATCATCATAATGGCACTCCACACATAAATGCCTTAAAATGTGAGAAAATTGCAGAGAAATGTGATGAATGTCTTTAGAAATCTTTGCCTTTAACTTCTAAAGTTCATACAGTTAGAAAACAACAGAGTGCCTTTCAAATCTCAAAAAAAATCAGTCTGCATAATTTTGTTACGGTTGAAATGAGGTTTGGTGGAACATTGAGGCATTCCAAGGAAGGACCATCCATGGAGAGATAACATGCTTCTTTTAAGTGTAAAATTAGATTATTCAAATGTTGTCCCTAAAATTTAGCCTTGAATACCCTAATGTATTATGCCTTAAAGAAGCCTTGTGAGATACATGTTTCCTCAGAGAAGGGAAGATCAACTTGTCCATTGTCACAAAGCAAATGAATGCCAGAAAAAGAGCTAGAACAGTTGTATGTTCACTCACAAGGCCTTGCCAAGAATGCACACTAAAGATAGGCCCTGGCATTCTTAAAACAGTAACTTTGCAAGCTTTTTTCCAACTGAATGTGAAGTTAAAATGCACCTGTTAGTTAGGATCATTATCCCATATACCTGTGAGAATATTCCTGGGCCAAGTGATTAACCATAAGGAAGGAAATTGCTAACCTTCCAGTCAAACTCCATCTCGAAGGGGATAATCTAGCTAGATTGAGGTTAAAAAGCTGTATTTAGTAATCAAATCCTTCCTCAGACATACCAGATTATAGGTTTTTTGCTTCTTTTAACACAAAATTTTAATTTGCTGAGTAAAGTGAGACTCTAGTAAGGATTAACTGAATACTTAGCTAAACATAGTTTGTTATGCATGTTTTTTGCATAGCTTTTACATGTTTTGCCTTGTACTAACTACCCTGTTAGCCAGAGATGGCTGCCAAAGTAAAACCCTGTAGATACAGTCTATCTAGGGTATTGCCACAGTGCCACAATCAAACCTATGTTCTTGATTCTGCTATTTGTATCGGATATAATGCTGGGGCCTCTAGCCCTTTATAGCTCCATGTCAGGGTGTACATTGAGAGACAAGACTCTCTACATGTCATAAGAATTGTTACGCATTTGGTGTTGTTGGGCTGAGGAAGGCTTTGAAGTTGATCTGAAATGTTTTTGATGGGAAGACAGTCCTTCCAGTGTTCTCATGCTGATAGTAGACAGCTTGGTGGGTTTCTTTGGTTTCCCAGCCATTTTCTAAAGAGAATGCCCAACTCCCATGGAGTTCCTCTTGTAGGTAGAAAATGCTGAACTGATTCAAAAGTGAGTCAATTCAGAACTCAGCAATAATGCTTTCTCCTGTGGCTGAAAACAGAGTCCACTGGTGCAACACATTGAACAGTGTTATTTTGAAGCACTGCTACAGCCACTGGAAAAGATCCTGAGTAAGTCTTTTTCTTCCCTGTCCTTCACGAATGTTTTATTAATGAGAAATGTTCTCCTGAGTCATCAGATACTCTGGAAATGCCACTGACTCGATTCATCAATGTGCTCATCTGTTTGCTGCACATTGCAAGACCTCTTATCTGTACTTTTTTACTCACTCTCCATTAACTGGCTCGATCATATTTTCTTAAATGTCTATCTCTGATTAAATATGGAAGAGTTCTAGGATCAATACGAGGATGCTATGTTCACAATACAGTAATTGTGCTGAACTCTTGTATATTAATTATGCCTCGTTTTTCCTGATTTATTTTGCTTACAGTGAAATGATTTCAACATGAAGGTGGCATGTGTATAGGCTATACCCTAGAAAGCCTATAACCTGCTAAGTAAAGTCATCTTCTAGGAGAAATGAGGTGTAATTCAAACCTTTTCATGAAGAAGACATTAGAGATTTTATTGCTATGCCTTAGGTAACTTAATTCTTAAATCTTTTGGTTTAAACATATCTGTCCCCGTTACTCAGTAAGAGACACCACTCAACTTTATACGCTTATCCTAGCTGATGATTATCACTGCTTAAGGAAGGTATCTATAAAGATATTCCCCACCTACAGAGATGGCTATAAAAACTTAGCTGGTCAGTCCTACAAAGGCTGACGTCCTACAAATGGATGACGTCCATCAGGAAGTTCAATGTTGCAGGCTGAAAAGAGCCTCCAGAGCCTAAACATCTCTGAACTTACATTATTTGGCTCTTAAATTCTAAAGTTCTTATTTTAAGTTTCAATCTGACTTCTACCCATAGTTACGGAGGACTTCTCAAGAAGGCAGGGAAATGAAAGTGGATCTGTCAAGGTTTGAGCTGGTATTCTAACTGCTTACAGTTGACCTCCTGAATTCAGATAACAACTCCAAGTGACTGGCCATCTTATGCTGAGAATTTTCAGTGACTACATAACTTTCATTTGCACAAAACTTAGAAACATGGTGTATAGCAGAACCAGATTTGTGGGTGAGGATAAAAAAAAAGTTCTGGAGACTCCTGTAGACATTCACTAGTGCTTCTGTTCTGACTTGAATATTTTTAAAAATTATTTCCACCTTTTCATTTAAGTAATCCCTAGTGTCTCTCTGTCATGCCAAATTATAAATTGGATATTTGATATGGACTTTGTGTGACAGCTGGGTTTAAAATGTTATTCTGCTAATGGTGCTGGTAGATCCAGGGTGCTGATTAGAGAATAAAACAAAACCTGGTAGATATCTGTGGTTCTGAGATTCTTCACTGTATGACAGGAAATTTTCCAATTTTGAGTAAACTGTTTAACGTAACACTGGGTATACAGGCAATGTTAGTAGCAATGAGGTATTTCTTACCTGCAGTAGTTATGTTCTCCAAGCCCTCCCTCCCCATTGGGATATTTCAAAGTATTATAAGGATGCTCAAAGGTCTCATTCCAAAAAAGGCAAGGTTTCCCTGCATATTGGGAGGTCTGGTTCTGGGTGCCACGATAGTCAGCCCCATTTGCTGTATAACATTCTGGGAAGAGATGGAAATGGAAAAGAGAGAATCTATGTAGGTTTAGTGTTTGATTGTTCTTCCCTCACCCTCCACCCCATCCCCAAGGGACCATGTTTCCTTTCACTAACATGTTTCCTGCATTGTTTAGACAACTAAATACTTTGCTGGGTCTTATTTCTGACATCTGATGAAACAAATATTCACATGTATGAAAAATTTTACATTTTCTAAAAATGCAAAGCATTTTTAATTAAATTGTGGACTGTGAGGGTGACAGAGCAGAGGAATAGTTTGCCCAGAGAGGCTATGGAATTTCTGTCCTTGGAGATACTGTGGTCCTGGGCAGCCTGCTTTAGCAGAGGGGTTGAACAAGCTGACCTCCAGAGGTCACGACCAACCTCAACCATTCTGTGATCATCTTCCAGAAATAGCAATTATAGTTAGTGTACCATAAATGTGTCCATCCTGTTTTTAATTAATACTTGGTAACATTTCTCATCCATGCATTTATTTTAAAATGGAGTTAAAATACAGTAATCTGACAGAATGGAAACTGCTGTGTTACAGTGCTGTAAACATTTCTTTGTACTGAGTATCATTACTGGGGAAAGTCACAAATGCTTTCTACTAACTGCAGGCTTCAGAGTTCTATATAATAGTGTTCTCTGTAGAAACCATGTAACAGCTGCAGAGATGTTCCACTGCCCTGAGGCGGAGTGCTCTGAAGTGGAGTGTGCTGATCTTAGGTGTCCCTCATGAGAGATACTTTACAAAGCAAGGCTGGAAAGACCTTTGAGTCTGAAGAGGAAGAAAAACAAACATGTCTAGCTTAATCCTGATAGTAACAGTACATCTTTTTGTATTTAAAAACACTGTGGGAGAAGAGAAAATTAGTATTATAACCATGCCTTTGAAATTAGTTTAGTCTGGGCCTACAAATATCAGAACGGTGCAATTATAGTGATTATTTCACAGTTTCATTACGCAGCAGATGAAAGCTGATGTTTTTGTGCCTTCACTGTGTATTTTCATGCCTAGGCAAGTTAGGATTTCTACTAAATGGAATTTTATTGCTGAAGACACACAGAAGAGATGTCTGCACAGCCATTACTGTATACTGCTATGATCTGTGGACAGAAAGTTATCTAATTTAATAAAATCAGGCTTCAAGTCAATATTCCTCCTTACTGGAATTTACCTGACTGCCTCAGCCATGCAGGTGAGCTACATATACTTGAAAATGCACATCTATGTTTCCAGTATTCAGGCAACCACAGATATTTGCAAAAACAGATGATAAAAAACCTACTTTAAAGTCACCACAGTGTTGCAACTTTCTTCAATACCTCTTTTGCTTTGCAGTTAATGTATAAAGTTTTCTATGTCATAGCTGAAAAATGTAAGTTAGTTAATGTGGCAGAAAAGAGAGGAAAACATAAACTTAATAAACAAAATAACACACAGTATAAAAAAAGTAGTTTTGAGAAGATATAAATAATCCAGAAAATACATCTATTTAGTGCAATTACTTGTTTTGCTTCTCACTTCTAAATGAGAAGCAATATATACTAACATCTACTCTGAAATGCAAGGAATGCTACAATACCTGAATGTAATCTGACACAAAAACTTAAGTTAACATCGAGCCATTCTGGGATTTGCTAAGACTAGCCCATGCTGTAGTTTGCAGAAATGACTGCCTTTCATTTTCATGTCAGCTCATTTTAATAGATTTTCTTCAAACTTCATTGCACTAGTACTTTCAGGACACTGCTCAAAACGAAGAGTCAGAGCATTTCACTCCTCTTAGCTGTATTTTTTTGTTCCCAAGACAATAGGTAGCTGTAACACTGCTTCCTGTGTTGTTCTGCACTACCAAGAGATTTGGGAAAAATATGCCAGCTGAGCTGTAATGAGGCTCTCCCAGCTTTGTTGGCATTTGGATGTAGAAGTGAGAGGCAGTTAGATACCACTAAAAAAATTGATTATCCCAGAAAAAAAAATATTAATGAAAATTTAAATTATGGAATTTAGCAGCTGTTGGCAAATGAAATACCTTTTTGTGTTACAGAGAATTTGCTAGGAAATTTTAATTTTGTTAATAATTAATAGTAGTCTTGCCATAGCATTAGAGTGCAATCTTTTCAAGTAAATATTGGCATTTAAATATGAGGCCCTCAGTCCTTTTTTACCTTGAACAATCAGCTTTGAGATCTGCTGAGATATATTTTGTACAATTTTCTGTAAAATTCCTAGTAACATGGATACTACTATCAGCATATTCAGTATCTTGGCAGTAAACAGCTGAATTATTCTATTTATCACAGTAATTTTGCTGCACAACAGCCAACACACTATCTTATCAATCTCACTCTGAAATTAATATTCTCAACATAGTGAAGGTGCAAAGCAAATCTTTCATTTGCAGACAGACCACAGTCCTCTCTGTTTCAAATCCATAGGCTGCGCTTTAAAGACAAGAGTTCTAAGAGATTCTAGAGAAGAGGAGGCTAGACAGAACCTCTACCCTTCTTTTCATCTTGCATCGCTGGTGTGATAATTCTGTGAAAAGATGTGCTTAAAAAAGCTCTGCCAGGTTTGTCTGCACAAAACTAATTCAGGTCACAGAAACCAGAAAAGAGTGGACTGAACACTACTAGTAAAACTCTTGGGCTTACTCACATTACCTGATTTCCCTTTGGTAGAAGAGAGGTGGGAAAAAATCAAAACCAAACAACTGTCACTTCTCCTTCACTTTTGTTGCACCTGTGGGATCCAGGTGCCTCACACTGGTTGAAACTTCCATCTTACTTTAGGCTGTGGAGCCGTTTGTTTGGAATCTAACTAACATCAGAACAGTGACTTAAGGAAATTACTACCAGTTCTATGAATTTCAGCAAGACTATGGTATACTACAACAAAACTTGCACCGTATCCAAGTGCTCTCTGGGTGGCAGACAGCAAGAGAAGAAAAGGCACTTTGGGGTGGCCAACAGATTACTAGAAGGCATCAAAGTGCCACTGTGCGTGATAGATTTGTCCTGTGGTTTCTCTTCATGTACCCAAGGCTCAGTTTAAACCACCCTGCCAAACATAAACCTGTTTTAAAACACCAGGGTTTTAGTACATGGAGAAAGCTGTGACCATTCAAATTTTGAAGTCTCCAGTCCTCTCGTATTTGTAACATCTTAGTCATCTCATTTTCAGACATAGTCTGAGGTAGAGACTTGTGTCAAACCCATTATTAAAATCAATTTCTGTGATTACTTCACTCTGTTAACTGCCTGATGCCCCTGCTGCTTCTACCCTATCATGGGGATGACTGCAAACAAAACTAATGGAAAACCATTGCAGTAGTTTTAGTCATGAAAAGCTGAATGGTTCCAACAAGTCCTGTTCAGGATAATGCTTAGTGAGAAAACATGGACTGAGGTGTGTTGTCAGGGCTTTTTTCAACACATAAGGTGCCATGGGTGACAGAAAAAATAACTCTTTTTTTAAGAGAACACTAAGACTAGGTAAGTATACATTGAATGGCAACTGCTAGAAAGAAAAAGCAGAAAATAAGCCTGGAGATGGTTGTCCACTATGAGCAAATGCTCAGTGTGTGATACAGGTTCACAATTAGTTTTATTAGAGCCAGATCAACATTTGGAAGATCAAACAGCAGCTGTAGTTGAAATTTTTTCCATCTGTCTTGGTTTCTTCTTCGATGTAGGGACCTTACAATGATCATTTATGCCTTTGTTACTTTGGGACTGTATGGCTGCCTGCACTCCACATGGACGCCACTTTAGGATCACTTGGAATATTAAGGTAGTGCAGAATGTGAGACAGACTTTTTTACTGAATGAACCACTTATGATAAAACACTGACATTTAGAATCTACTTCAAATGCTGACTAGTGGCTGGACAGATTAAAGTTTGACAGAAACTGGCCTACCTGGGCCAGAAATTATTCTACCAGCTATTGCCAAACAAACAGCAAGGTTTTTTCTTTGAAAAAAAAAAAAAAAAAAAAAGATTAATGAAAGGTAATTAAAAGTAGCTGTGATTTAAATCTTGGGTTTCATTACAGTGATGTGATAGCCAAAACATTAAATGTTCTGTAAAGCTGGAGCAAGAAATAAAAGCTCCTTGAATTTATGTGGTCTAACTGCCTGTTCAGTTCTCACTTGGTTTGAGTCAGAAAAATGCTTAAGCAGACCATAAGGATGTGGAATCAAAGGTGCTGGGTCTGTTAACAACCAAGTGTCAGCTGCTTTATGCATGTATGTGCTTAGTGTTCTAGGAAGATTTTAAGTCATCTCCATTCTACCTCAACTGTTGTCCTAGTTCCTGCTATAGATTGCAATTTAAGCACTCCTCCTTAAATAAAAGCACTGTATCTAGGTGCAGATGGCAACAGTTACAGGCACTAACCAGATGCTGCAGTCTCTAATTTGATTGAAAGGGTATAATTAGACAGCAGAAACACTTCAATGAGAGAGTAATGCACAGAGGAAAGGACAGAAACCACTTAACTGATGCCAAGATACCCCAGCAGTAACAGAGGCAGGGGCCCACGGATGGAGAGGACAGAACACCAAATTACCTTCTTCAGATGAGAACATTTTTGTTTCCCTATGGATGTGAATAGAGATTCTATTATCATAGGTTGCCACAGTTCTTCATGGGGGAACACTGATTAAAACCAGAAGAAGCTTCAAGAGATCAAAGAGACAAATATGGCTTCTGTGGTCATTATTAAAAATATTTTTAGCAGTGCAATGGTTTTCTTTGAAGATGCAGTTTTATCGATTGAACCAAAAGTTGATTTGCATACTGTCATATGATTGGTCAGGAAAAACATAACCTCATTCCATATTACGTTATGATGCAAGATAAATGTTTTGGGGAAGTATTATAAGGCTGTTTCAGACCTCCCTAAGTGAAAAATCAGTGTAGTGTTTCTACATTACAATACTTTATTATTCTAATTAAAACTAATATAACAAAAGCCCTTATCAAAACTGACAGGCCTGGGTGCCTGTGCTGTAATAGTAAAAAGCCTGACAACAGAACAGTTGCTACAAAAGAAAAAAAATATGAGGAAAGAACAATCTTTGTTTGAAATTGCAATTTTAAAAGTTGCTAGAAAATAACTTCTAATTTGGTAAATCAGCCAGTAAAATTCTGATGTGATGCTATGAGGGCACTTGGTTAGCTGATTGTTTCTCCTTAGCAGGGTATGGGTACTCTGCATGTAGTTTAAAAGTCTCTCTCATTTTACGTATCTGCAAAGACACACAGAGACATACACGTATGACTTTGTAAAGTCCTGAAATGCAGTAACTTTTGCTGGTCAGAAAGAGTCTTATTTAGCATTGGTCCAAACCAAAGAGCAGTGACAGTGAATACTCACATGACATTTGATCAAACCTTTACTTAAGCAAGTCTGTCCTGTAAGAATGTGCATTCCTGGGAATGCAAAGACATGTGGAGTTCCATACTTGTTCTCCCTGGCAGTGTGAGAGTATATGTGCACTTGTTATTCTTGTGGGACTTTTGATTACTAACCTTCAATCTAATAATTTTTTCATCACTTCTCCTTTTCTGTTTGGTTTGGGTTATTTTGTTTGGTTCGTTGTTGTGTTTTGTTTTTGAAAAGGTAAATTCTGTCTGACTGGCTAGACCCTCTCTGGAATATGTTGGAAGCCAGCATGTTATGATACAAGCATAAGAGGCAGTTGTCATTATTTATAATGCTTAAAAGTATGTATTTTGTACCTTTTTTCTTTTTATTCATACAATACAAACATTCTATATGAGCCACAGCTTTGCAGCTGCTGGCTGGTCTTCAGGCACAAGATGCAAACACACTTGCTTGTCCTGTGATTCTTGATCACTGGAAGTAAGAATGCATGATGTGGCTCCATAAGAATTTCTGTTCCTTAATACACCCATTTATTTTCTTTCTTTATGAAGTTTTAAAACTGTTGTTTCATTGTCCAGAGTGGCAGATGGAATCCCTTTAGAAATTTTATCAGGATGGCCCATAGATACTGTGTGGATGGAGGGAGTGGTCAGTTGCACAACCAGGATGGTGTGATATGACAAAGAATGCAAATTTTGCAGCTGGCAGCATGTAATCCCTGCCTCCCTCCCACTTCTTTGGCTCCGTCCTGCCTAAATCCATTCACATAACTCTGGATTTTGAGTTACACTCTATGCATGTACAAGCATGATATGCTGAACTGCCTGATTAATGATTTCATTTTCTGTCTGGTTAGAAATACTTTTTTGAGTATTTCCACGATGATTGCTTAAGGCATATCAAGTAGAACTGCTTCTTGAGACATAGGCAGAAAAAGAAGGTAAGAAATACAAAGTTTGTAAGAGAAGGCTGAAATAGCAGCTTAAAGGTAAGATTCAGCTGGGAAGAAAACCAAGAACATGGTGACCCAGTATTACTAAATGGACTGAAATCAGATGAAGGAAAAAGAAGACTAATAATCCTATGCATTTCTGATGGGGAAATGAAATTAAAATGATAAATACAGAAATTAGAAGTGAGAACTTACTGCACTGAGTATATAAACCAACATTTTTTCACTGAAAAATGTGAAGGCATTTCCATCTTTCTGGCCTTGTAATACAAAGCTCACCAAATGTCAACAATCCTTTAAAGTTGGACAACCTATTCACCCATCCTTATTCCTGATTCACTTGAGATACGTGGTATGACTGAATGCTGCAAATGTCAGTGTTTGGATTAGTAGAAACTGTTAGATATCACACAGCAAAGCAGAAACATTCTGTGAAAAGCAGCGCAGTACTATGTGCAAACCCAATTGCTAATTTGCTCTAACTTCTGACAATGAGAGTAATTTTTTATAAGGTAATTCCAGAGGCTAAAGTTTCTCTCCTATCTTAGCAGATGGTGATCTGACGTAGTCTGTATTTTGAATGCATTTTACTATTTAACTTATTACGAGATGCATTTGATTATAAAAAAGGAAAAGGTACCATATGACAAACTGCCTTACAAACGAAATTTCAGAACTCTGTTAGCTTCAAGTGCAACATGACCCAGCTGATCCTGTTTAGTTCCTGTGGAATTAAGGGTCAGGAAGATCCTGAGGCATGGTTTGTGAAAATTAGCAACTCTCAATATTTTGTACGTGCCATAGAAATTACAGGTGCTTGTTGAAGTGTAGATTTGCACTATTTCCAGGCTCTTTAGAAGACACATGGGTGGCAGTGCTTTCTAGATCCATTC